GGATCGACTGATATTTAGAAAAATGAGGTGGGGATCTCATAGCAACATATAAAATCCTGATGGGACTGGACAGGCTAGATCTGGGAAGAATGTTCCTGATGTTGGAGAAGTCCAGAACTAGGGATCACAGTCTCAGAATAAGGGGTAAGACATTCAGGACTGAGATGAGGACGAATTTCCTCACTCGGAGAGTTGTAAACCTGTGGAATTCTCTCCACAGAAAGTTGTTAGGGCCAGCTCATTCGATATATTCAAGAGGGAGCAGGACATGGCTAAAGGGATCAAGGGGTATAGGGATAGGGCGGGAATGGGATACTGAAATTGCATGATCAGCCATGATCATATTGAATGGTGGTACAGTCTCAAAGAGCCGAATGGCCTACTGCTGCACCTATTTTCTACATTTCTATTATATAGGAATACACATCTAGTGACTGGGATAGGGACAAACAGACAAGTCAGTGGTGTATTTAGTGTGAAGTATCAGAGAGCTGGAATTCAATCTGTTTGTTTGCAGACCAGAAAAGAAGAGGGAGCAACCCATGTGCGAGGAACACGATGATGAACGAATCAACATTTATTGTCTGACGTGTGAAGTGCCAACATGCTCCATGTGTAAAGTGTTTGGGGCTCACAAAGACTGTGAAGTGGCTCCACTCAATAACATTTATAAAAGGCAAAAGGTAGGTCTTAGTTTCCTTTTTCCAGTGTCATCTTGTTCTTGAAAAAATTACTTCTGTCGTTCTCATTTAAGAGATAGGAAAATAATCAGTTCATAGGACTACTCTCCTGTCACTCAATGGAACAGGCTGGACTTATTTTAAACAGTTTTCAATTTAAGACTTACCCTTCATAAGACGATGATCCTAACATGCTTTTATTTGTTGCTTGTTGGGTGTTTTTAAAGAAAACAAGCAGCAGAACTATGACTGTTAGAAATGCTTCAATTTCAAGGTGCAGCTTTTCACTGAAGTATCAGGTATTATGTGGTCGGTGCTTAGATAAACCACTGCACCACTGATTTCAGCCTGCATAAGGTTTGGGGATTTTTATTTCCCATTGTTATGGTACAGTTTATGACTTGCTAACCAATTACCGCATGCTATAGGCACCGAGCAATAAATGAAAGCCTTTGGTTGAATCAATGTATTGATTCCGCACTGAAGTTCTTTGCCACTCACTCAGCCGAGTTCAAAGAGACTAAATACTGGTTAAAAATTCCAATGATTAACTTACAGCTCTTCAGAGGATTGGTTATCATCTTAAAACTGGTCAGTTTTAAATCTGAGATCGATAAAGTTTTGTTAAGGAAAGATAATGAGGGATATGGGCCAAAGACAGGTAGATGGAGTTAGGCCACAGACCAGCTATGATGCCATTGAATGGTGGAATAGGCTGGAGGGGCTGAATGGCCTACTCCTGTTCCTGTGTTTTTACATATGGAATGCATTGCTTTCAGTTACTTACATCGATTAAAATGCAATTATTGTTATTTTTTAAAAACAAATTATTACTTTTGCTGTCCATAATACACAAAACATAAATTTGCACGAGTAATTATGTCAAAACTATCAGCGTTCACTGTTGTTACAACTGTGAAATTGACAGCAACCTTTGCTGTCCACACATACAGCTTAATATAGATCCAGAAGTTACTGTCAGTGATTCCCTGCCTCTCCAGAGGGTGCACTGGTGAAGTTGTCAGAGATAGAAATCTTAAAAATCTTGATGAACTTCTACTTTTCATGCTAATAATTTCTTTTAAACATCGTTGAAAAGATTACATCTTGTTGAATGAACTCTAAAGGAGGTTGCAAAAATGTATTAAGTTACAATTATTGCCAAATTCATTGATCCTGAAAATTTAATTACATATCTGTGGAATGTCAATTTTTTTCAGATTTTAAAAATGTTAAAGCTTATTTCATTTATTTTTAAATTTTCTTTAAGACATTTCATCTTCTACCTTAATCTCATGTGCATGTCACAAGTTTGATGATCCCTTAAAATGTTAATTAGTGAAAGACAATAAGTTCTTTTTACTTTCTGGTTTGCTGTCTATTAGAATTCTTCATATGATTATCTACTTTAGCCTGCTTGATGAGAACACTGTTGCAGGATGTCAGTATAGGAATATTGTTGACACCAAAATGTAATTAATATCAGGAAAGTGAAATCTCCACCATCGACAATGCTAGAGCTTTGTGTGTAACTTTCTTTGAGCTTTGCATATTAAATTGGCAGTTAGGAAATCAAGTGCAATATTAGGTTATTGACTTGCTCACTGAGCTGGCTTGTTTTCATTTAGATGTTTCGTCACCATGCTAGGTAACATCATTAGTGAGATTTCCGATGAAGTGATGTTGTTCTACTCTGCTTGGAATTTATACTGCCTGGTCTTTTATGGAGAGATGTGTTATTTCCAGTTTGGTTCTGTATGGGTTTGTATATGGGGTCCAATTCTATATGTTTGTTGATTGCATTATGAGTTGAGAACCATATACGGGACAGTATAAATTCCAAGTGTAATAGAACAACATTGCTTCATCGGAGGTCTCACTGATGATGTTATCTAGCATGGTGATGAAATGTCTGAACAAAAATAAGCCAGCTCGGTGAGCAAGTCAACAACCTCAACCACAACCTGAGCTACAAATCTTTGCTAAAACCTTAAAGTGCAATGTTAGCATTCATTTCAAGAGGGCTAGAACACAAGAGCAGTGATGTGCTGTTGGGGCTATATAAGGGTCTGATCAGACAGCATTTGGAATATTGTGAGTGGTTTTGGGCCCCATATCTAGTGAAGGATGTGCTGGTGTCGGAGGGAATCCAGGGAAGGGTTTCAAGAATAATCCCAGGAATGAAGGGCTTGTCATATGAGGAGCAGTTGAAGACTCTGCATCTGCATTGTTTTATATAACTTAAATATCTTTTGTTAAACATCATGTAGTTCAAACTCTTAAATTTAATATCACTGTTGGCGCATGTTTGTTGGCAATCTATAATAATTTATCTATCAGCTTCAAATCAGTACATTTATAGACAACTAAATAAAAATCAAAAATTGCTGGAAAAACTCAGCAGGTCTGGTAGCATGTGCGGAGAGAAAGTAAAGTTGATATTTCAGGTCCAGTGACCCTTCTTAAGATCTCCAGCATCTGCAGTTCTTTTGGTGTTTTTTTTTAAATAAAACTGTGTGTCACTTTAATCCTGCTTTTGCTGTTACACAGTATGAGAAAAACCTTATTTGCAATCTTGATATATGATTCTGTCCATCAAGCTATTTCTGTCAATTCTGGATGCACCCTGAAATCTTGTTTCTTACAGTTTCATTCAAAGTAGCATTAAAATCGGAAACTGTTGGCTTCTCCAATGCTCAGTTAACTAATTTAGAATTACATGTTTTATTTTGCGCACAGTCAGACTTCGTTGATGGAATTGCAATGCTGGTGGCAAGCAATGACCGTGTTCAAACAATAATCACTCAGATGGAAGAGACATGCAAAAGTATTGAGGTATTTCCAATTTTTGCAAATGCAAACAATTAGAATGCAAATATTCCAGATATATTTTCATGAGACATTATTTCATTTTTAACAAACATATTTATATCTTAGGAGCTGTACTCTTATTTTATCCTGTTCTCTTGATCCACAGTTGAGTTGTTCTTCAGGAACTGGTTACTAGCCCTCCAAAAATGCTGCTCTGAACTATTGGGACATACAAAAGTTATGCAAATATGAGAAGTTCATAAATAGTCTTCCATTCTTTATGAAGGCAGAACAACCACAGCTCTGCTCAGTATCTCCCTACAACATCAGATGTCACATGACACCAGGTTATAGTCCAACAGGTTTATTTGAAGCCACAAGCTTTTGGAGCGTTGCTCCTTCATCAGGTGAAGTCCCTACAACATGAGAGTGAAAGCTCAACAAGGGGCCACTCGAACCCGTACCCATCACATCACAGCATGGGTGCAGGTGTTCCCGCATATCATGTCACCAGATTTTTAGCATACGCCAGGAAAAGTAACATTTTATCCCTTCTTTAACATGATGATAGATGTAATGCATTGATACATACCAAAAAAATTGGTACTTGAAATCATCCCTAATAAATTTTTTAAATTGCTCATGGGTTGTGGGCATCTCCTGCTGGGCCAGCATTTATTGCCTGTCCCTAGTGGCCCTTGTGAAGATAGTGGTGAGGTGTCTTCTTGAACTACTGCAGTCCATGTGCTGTAGGTAGATCCACAATGCTGTCAGGGAGGGAATTCCAGCATTTTGACCCAGTGACACTGAAGGAATAACGGTATATTTCCAAGTCAGGATGGTAAGTGGCTTGGAGGGAAACTTGCAGTTGGTGGTGTTCCCATGTATCTGTTGCCCTTGTCCTTCTAGATGAAAGTGGTCATGGGTTTGGAAGGTGCTGTCTGGGGATCATTGATGAATTTCTGCCATGCATCTTCTAGATAGTACACACTGTTGTGACTGAGCATCAACGGTGGAGGGTTTGATGCTTGTGGATGTGGTGCCAATCAATTGCTTAGTCCCGGATGGTGTCAGGTTTCTTGAGTGTCGGTGGAACAAATATTAGCCAGCAATCTCTTGAGCTTTTGTTCAAATGAAATTTGTCTGTCCACTTAATATTTTTGGTAGAAAAGGTGCTAATACCCCTGTTAACATTAAAGATAAAGGGTTAATATTCACCAGAAGGGTGAGGTGCTAAATGCCAGGAATCCTTTGTACATTTTCTGTATGTTTGTGGGTGAAGCTGGATGGGATTTGAAAAATTAAACCAAATAAATGAATGCTTCAATGTTCCAGGAGAATAGTAACAGCCAAAAGGAACAAATGTGTGTGAAGTTTGATGGCCTATATGCACTGCTGGAGGAAAAGAAAAAGGAAATGATGCAGCATATCACAATGGAGCAGGAAGAAAAGACACAACATATTCGGTCATTGATTAGGAAATATGCTGAACATCTCGAGGAAGTATCCAAGGTCATTCAGTCTGGATTACAGTGTATGGAGGAGCCTGAAATAGCAGTCTTCTTACAGGTACTGACTTAAACAATGTGACTTCAATGAAAGTGCATAAGAAATCATAGAATCCCTACAGTGTAAGGAAACAGGCCATTCAGCCCATCAATTCCACACCAACCCTCTGAAGAGCATCCCACCAGACACACCCCTTCCCTATCCCTGTAGCCATGCATTTCCCATGGCTAACCCACCGTGCTAAATTGGCAATTTAGTATGGCCAATCCACATAACCTGCACATCATTGGACTGTGGGTGGAAACCAGAACACCCAGAGGAAACCCACACAGGCATGGGGAGAATGTGCAAACTCCACACAGACAATTGCCCAAGGCTAGAATCTAACCCAGGTCTCTAGCACTGTGAGGCAGCAGTGCTAACCACTGAGCCACCATGCTGCCCAGGCAATATCGCCACAATTATACCATACCAGACTTTATTTTGGCAAAAAAGTAATAGGTACTAACTCTCCATTTATTATTAGTCATAATAGCTAAACCTTTTTGTAGAATATTTTGCCACATTTGGGATTTCTATCAAAAAAGTAATACAGGCATTTTCACTGTTTATCTTCTTGTCCCAATGGTGACTTTGGAAATCCACAATATTGTAAATAAAATAAAACAATGTTCTGGTTTAAAAACTTAGGAAAGAGCAGCTTTGAAGAGATATTATTCATGTTTAGTCAAGCGAGAATAGGTGCACATGGAATTTAAATGTAACTGAACATAAATCTTGATGCTAACAGTTTGTTTTCTGTGGGATTAGACTCATGTAATAATAGTATGGTTACAATACAGAAGAAGCCATTCAGCCCATTTTTTCCCCATCAGCTGTCTGCAAGTGCAACTCAACTAATGTTACATTCCTGCCCTTTCCCCATGGTCCTGGAAATTTTCCTCTTCAGGGATTTCTCCAATTCCTTTTGAAAGCCACGATCAAATCTGTCTCGACTACATTCTCAGGCAATGCATTCCAAATCCTGGCCACTTTCTGTGTAAAAAGCTTTTGCCCCATGTCACTGTTGCTTCATTCACGTGAAATGTCCATTCTCTGGTTTTCAATCCCAATGGTTTTCAATCCTAATGCTCTATTTAGACCAATCATGATTTTGAACATCACTATCAAATTTTGTCAAAGCCTCCAGTCTGTGCATTTTAAAACTAATCCCTATCCTCCTCACAAATTATTTGAAAAGTTTAAACTTCTGCCCTGTACAATCAAGCCAACATCATTAATATATATCATGAAAAACAGTGGATCCAATATTAACACACGGAAATCTCACTGTACCCCTACTTCACGTCTAAGAATCGCTATCAAATATTTTTGTTTTTTATGTTGTTCTGACTTTGTATCAATGCCATCTCTGTCCCTTTCACTCAATAAGCTTCAAACCTCATGTCGCACTTATAGTGTAGCTTTTTATCAAGTGCCTGTTGGAAGTCCAATCTCATTAAACTCACCAGTACTCTCTGTTCCCTTCTCAAGAACCTCAATTAATTTAGTTAAACATGATTTGCCTTTAGCAAGTCTGCCTTTCCTTAATTAGTTTACAATTGCCCAAGTTGTGGATTTGTTCTTGATTATTAGTTGTAAAAGTTTTCCCACCACTGAAGTTATATGGATTGGAATTTATTTGATGGATTTACTTTTAAACACGTTTTGAATAAGAATGTAATATCTGTAATTAACCATTCCTCTGCTCCAACCCCATATCTATGGAGAATTGGAAAATTATAACAAGTACCCCTGCAATTTCTATTCTTACTTCGCAGAGTTTGATTGCGTGCATTTCATCTGGTGCTGGTAATTTATCAATCTTAAGTTTTATTAGAATTTTTTTTGTTTGTAAGTTCTTAGCCCATTCAATTTCTCAACTATCTCTTTTTCACTAAGACTTTAACAACATCTTCATCCTTGGTAAAGAGAGATGCAAAGAACTGACTTAATGGCTCAATCATGTCTTTGTCTTCATGATCAATTCTTTTTGGTCCCTAATTAGCACACTCCTTGCACCTTATTACTTACATTTTACTGTTTATATGTCCCGTAATGATAAAAGTTCACTCTCATCACTACTTTTTGAATGGTTTTTGAATTTTTCTGTGATTTACCTGTAAATTTGTTCCACTAGATTTTTGTGATTATTTGGTGGCTAGAATACGGGGTAAATCGAGAATATACTGTAAATCTAGAATGCAGTATACACCTGGAATATAGCATAACTCTAGAGTACAATGCACATCTAGAATACAGCATAAATCTAGAATATAGTGTAAATCTAGAACACAGGACACATTCTTGAATATATTGTAAATCTAGAGCAATATGCATTTCCGACATCTAAAATATGTACATCTAGAATATAGTGTAAATCTATAATGTATCTAGAATAGTGTGCATTCTTGAATATAGTGTAAGCCTAGAATAGAGTGTACATTTAGAATATAGTGTAAATCTAGAGTTCAATTTGCATGTAGAATATAGTGTAAATCTAGAATACAGTGCACATTCTTCAATATAGTGTAAATCTAGAATGCAGTGTGTATTCTTGATCATAGTGTAAATCAAGAATAGAGTGTATGCTGTAATCATACCACTAATGTTTCTTACATTATTTCCTTAACTTCCTCCTGGATATTCTCTCTTCAGAGCACTGTAATAATTTCCTTAATCAATTATAATACCTCTCTCCCTTTCTTCCCTCCCCTATTGTTCTTGACTAATTTGTATGCAGCAATACTTTGTACCCAGTCAAACATAAGAACAGACAAACCCAAGCATTAGGAGTAGGAGTAGGTTTCTTGGTCCCTTGGGCCTGCTCCCAACGCCACTAAGAACACAGCCTCCTCTCCATTCCCACCTACCCACAATAACCTTTCACCCCATTTTTGTCAAGAATATATCTCCTCTGCCTTAAAGAAGTGCAAAGACTGCTTTCACTGCATTTCAAAGAAGAGAGATCCAAAAATTGGCAACACTCTTTGAGAAACAAATTCTCCGCAGCTCTGTCTCAGATGGGCAACACCTTAATTTTAAATAGTGAACCTAATTCTAAAATCTCCCACAAGGGGAAGTGTCTTTTCCGCATGCATTCTGTCAAGATCGTTCACCTGACAAAGGACCAGTGCTCAGAAAGCTTGTGATTTCAAATAAACCCATTGGACTATAACCTGGTGTCGTGTGACTTCCGACTTTGCACACCCCAGTCCAACACCGGCATTTTCACATCAAAGATCCCTTTGGATCCTATACGCTCAAATCAAGTTGCCTCTTACACTTTTGAACTGCAGCAGATACAAACCTAACCTGTCCAACCTTGCCTCAAAAGGTAGCCCACCCATTCCAGGTATGAGGTTAAAAAAAATTTCCTGATCTACTTCCAATGTATTTACATCCTTCTTCAAATAAGGAGACCAATACCGTGTGTAGTATCCCACAATGTGATCTCACAGATGCTCTGTAGAGCTGAATCATAATCTCCCTACTTTTGTCTTCAATTTCCTTTGCAATAAACAGTACCATTTTGTTTCCAAATTCCTTGCTTCATGCAAATTCTCTAAAATCCATGCACTTAGATACACAGATTGCTCTGCACTCAGAGTTCTACACCCCCTCAAGATTTAAATCGTATGCTTGCCTTTTATTCTTCATGCCCAGTGGGCAATTTAACATATTTATACTCCATTTTCCAGATTGTTGCCCAGTCATTCAAGATACCTATCACCCTCTGTTCCTCCTATGTCCTTGTCACAACGCACTTTCTTAGCTATCGTTGTATCATCCGCACGTTTAGTATTCCTTCTCTGAATCATTTTTATAAATTGTAAAAAGTGGAGGCTCCAGCACTGATCCCTGGGGTATACCACTCCTTACACCTTGCCAACCTGAAAATGACTCATTTGGGCCTACTCACTCAGAGATAGTAAGAACTGCCGATCTTGGAGTCTGAGATAACACAGTGTGGAGATGGAGGAACACAGCAGGCCAGGCAGCTTCAGAGGAACAGGAAAGTTGACGTTTCGGGTCGGGACCCTTCTTCAGAAACTGTTTCCTGTTAGCCAGCTAAAGTTGTATCCATGCCAATATGTTACCTCAACACCATCAGCTCATAATTTCTGCAATAGTCTTTGATGTGATATCTTGTTGAATGTTTTCTATCAGCCAGGTCTTCATTGCTGCCATAACTTCATATTCTCATCTGGTTGCCTGTGCCTGCAGCACACCAGCCTTATTTATGAGAATAAAAAAACAGAAATTTCTGGAAAAGCTCAGCAGGTTTGGCAGCTTCTATGGAGAGAAATCAGAGTTAACATTCCGGGTCCTCAGATCTCACCTACCATTCCATATAGACATGCGCCGTGAGCTTAATTTAGATCATATTGCATTCCTTGTTTTCTGACCCACCTCACACAATTACTGCTTCTTGCTCATGAGAGCTATCTGTCTCTGTCAAACCATCATGCACTCAGCTACTGCTACATCCCTGTTTCCAAGCCCTGCCAAGATAGCTTCAATTTACTCCAACAGGAAGAGTAAGTCATCTTGTGAAGACAATTTCTCTCAGCCCTGTTGAGGTGCAACTGCCTGTACAGGTCCCACTTCCCCAAAAACTGATGCCCCAGTATTCTGGCAATCTCAACCCTACCCTTTTGCACCTTCCCACCATCTCTGCATTCATCTGGTCTATCTTCCCATTTCTATTGTCAATGACATAAGATTTTAATGAGTTTTTAACCAGTAAAACAAGAGAAAAGAAAAAATCTTAGGAAGAATTTTGTAATTTTAAAAGCCTGTGACAATGCCAGTGTCATCTACATCGTATTGGAGGGACCCTCAATTAATTGGACTGTAGAATTAATTAACTCTGCTCCTGTCAACTATTTCACTTTCCAAAATGTCAAACAGTATGGCTAATAAGATCAACGTCAACAATTATCTCTGTCGGATCTGTCATTCTACAAAAAAATGGCTAGTTACATTTTACAAAAACAAGGGGCGGTATCTTCCCAGAC